AAAAGAATTCCTTTAGATCCTGTGCTACACCGGGAATAGTTTTTATGATGGGTAAAAATAAAACACAATAAAATACTGGTCTAAGCCAGCACTTCGTATGTCACAGACAAGTCTTCTTATACAATGACCAGTCCAAGAGCCAGCACCATGTGGAGCGTTAATTGAGGACCTTCTTTCTTTGCAACATACTCTAGTCTAAATGATTGGTTCTCAAATGTGGTCTCGGACCAGGAGCATCAGCACCACCTGGGAACTTGTTAGACATGCAAATTCTTGGGCTGCTATTGAATCAGAGACTCTGGGGGTGGGACCTGGGAATCTGATTAACAATGTGATTCACGTCTCAGGTGATTCTGATGCCCCTTAAGATTTGAGAACCACGGCTGAAACATTACGATGGCAAGATCTCAGGTCCAAGATGGCCCCCGGCTATGATCCTGAGGCCCCAAGATGGCAAAGTTCCAGTGGATATGCTCAAGTGGGATTGGTCTGTGCAAATGGGATCATGCTCTGTGTTGCTGAGGTCAGTGCAACGTTTGCATTAACACATTTCCATAGATACGCCAGCTATCGATGCCAAGAGAATTTATTGCTAATTAAACAAAGTTAGCCTCAATCTTTTGTTGCTACTATTCCTAATCCTCCTTCTCCTAGGCCATTGGCAGAAGTTGTTCATGCTAAAGGAAAACTGGTTTACTTAAACCAAGGTTTCTTCATCTTGTCACTACTGACGTTTTACCGTGAGGAGCTGTCCTGTGCATGTTTAGCGGCATCTGTGGCCTCTACCCACTAGATGCCAGAAGCAATTCCCATCCCCCTCTCCCCTCCCACTAAGGCATGACAATCAAAAATGTTTCCAGATGTTGCCAAATATCTCCTGGGGCAAGACTGCACCCAGTTGAGAACCACTGACTTAGACCAAAACATTTCCTTCAAAGCGGTAAGAAAGGAGGGATGTGGCAGGAAGAGGAGCAGGCTTCCAGAGCCCCTGGGGCAACTCACGTTGTAGGACTGGCCATGCCTCCGTTTCCACTGTACCAGCACTATCTGGGCGATGACCAGGGTGCAGAGGAAGATCAAGATCATCTCCACGTGCGTGGACTCATGGCCCCGGTGCATCTTGTACATCCTCTCCTGCTGCAAGCTGGAACCAGCAAATGAGGTCATCTGAAAAAGCCTTCAACCCTTGCACAGCACATTTAGGGGAAAAAAAAAAATGTCTGGGCTCATGGAAAGCAATTGGAGATTTCGAATGTAGGGGGTTTTAAGTTTGATTACAGTTTTCCTAAGTTTTTCTTGGTTTTTCCTTTTCTCCCAGGCTTGAGGAGGGGGCTGCAGAGAGGAGGAGCCTGAGTTCATCAGGGAAACCAATTCCTCTCAGCCCTTAGCTAGCCTGTGTGGTTTTAGCCTCAGCCTTGTCCTTTCAAGTGAAGTGATGGGGCCAAAAAAGTCACTGATGGGCTCTGGAAAGACTTGGGTGCCAGTCCCCAATCTGCCACGTCGTCGCCATACAGACTCTCGAAAGTCACTCATCCTCTCTGCACCTCGGTATCCTCCTTTGCAAACTTAAAATCATGATCCCTCTGTACTTCACAGGATTGTTCTAAAACTACAAAGCCCATGTTATTTTATTTGTTCTTAAATGAGGAATAATAATGATTATTAGGTTAAATCATATGCAATTGCTGTTTTTGAAAGTCAAAACAGTAAAATAGTGGTAATTTCAAGTAACTTTTAATATTCTGAAGTAAAAGGATATCCTGCACATGGTGTCAATGGAGAGAATATTATCCAAAGGGATCCAGAACACTCCTGAGTGAGCCATATACATGTTTTTTTCATTATAAGGAGAAAGGAGAAGCCCACATATTATCTTAGGCCGGCACAAACATTCAGATGATGGCTGAATGTCTCAGTTTTTAGCTGGACTCTTGGGTTTGCGTAATGGTAGAGAAAACACTATAACAGTATGTAATCTGGTTTAATTTCCTATAGCCAAAGTGACTTCAAAGAAAGCCTAGAGCAGTGGTTCTTGATGTTGGCTATAAATTGGAAATCACTGGGGAGCTTTTAAAAGTCCCAGTGTCCAAGCTGTGCCCAGGTCAATTAAATGACCCTTTCTGCGTGTTACGGGCTGACCCGTACCCACCCCCATTCATATATTGAAGTCCTACCCCCCCGCCCCCTGGTTCCTCAGAAGGTGACTGTATTTGGAGATAGGAACTTTAGAGAGGTAAATAAGGTTCAATGCCATCCCTGAATTGGGCCCCAATCCAATCTGACTGGTGTCCATCTAAGAAGAGGCTATTTGGATATAAACTCACACAGAGGGAAGACCATGTGAAGGTGCCATGAGAAGGCAGGCATCTGCAAGCCAAGAAGTGTCAGGAGAAACCAGACCTGCTGACACCTTGACCTTTGACTTCTTACCCCCAGAACCATGAGAAAGTAAATTTTTGTTGTTTAAGCCACCAGGGCTGTGGTACTTGTCATGGCAGTTCAAGTTCCACATGTGATTTTAAGGTGCAGCCAAGATTGAGAACCACAGGGTTAGAGGAAGAGAGAGCGGTCCAGGGTCAAGATTAGGGGAAATGGGAAAATTATGAATGTCGCCAATCAAATACTTTATTAATAGTGGTTAGCATTTCACCCCCAATGGGGCACCATCAGTCAAGAAATCTCTTGAAGTTTCCACTTATGACTGGTTATAGTGTGCATTTGATGTACCCATCAGAAAACACTGCAGGGTAAGGTTCTGTGCCATAAGATTGTGACCTTTTAAAGGCACTCATTGGGTATGCAGGTTGGGTTCTCCCCCTTTACCGGTAATTTCTACAGCTACACTAAAGAGTAAAGTGCCAAGTGCCTCTGAAAAGGGCACTGAGGGTGCCCCCTGCTGGAGAATGTGTAGAAATGAGCCTGCAGAGCCTAGTAAATACTGAGTTCACCTTTGAGATGGAATCTTAGAACCTTCACGCTGGCAGGTACATTAGATGTACTGAAACCCCTACATTTATCAAATGAAGAGGCTGAAGTCCATATCAGGTAAGCAACCTGAATAAAATTACATTGTTAATAGTCTCTGCGTTGGAAGCTGAGCTTAAGAGACAAGAATGATTTTCAGAAGTTTGTTAAAAATACACTCGTTCCTTTGAAGAAGTGGGAAGTGAAGAAAAATAAAAGCGTACAAGCACTTATAGTCTTTACAGCCCCAAATCCAAAATAACTATTTAATATTCTATTTAATGAATAGACTTTCAACTTAGGCCATGTAGATAGAAAAGTGAATTTATCATCGGTCTAAAATAGGGCTTGCATAGATATTAAACAAAATATGCTTTATGACATTCATCTATTTTGTGTATATATAAATATAATGAAAACATATCTCAAATGGTTAGCCTATGTGGAAGTACTTTGGAAAGTATAAAGTAGTTTGTAAATATAATAAGTATTTCCTATTTTGATTAGGAATACATTCATAATTGATTACCATAATGCAAAAAAGGAGGAACTTTTCATTTTTGTTTCATTTCTTTTGGTGCCCACAGAGCCCTAATGGCCCCCTAGTAAGTACCAGAACACAGGGGAAACAGCATATAAAGAAAACCAGATGTAACTTGTGCTTAAAATAAAAACTAACTTGACACTGCCCTATTTTGAAGGGACATACAAATCTAGCTTTGTGGGACTGCGTGAAGCACACTGTAGGAAACAGGTGAAATCCCTGTGGTTTTGGTTCATGCTATCAGTGCGCATGCATGCTGTGCTAGCCCGCCTTCTGTAGCCTGAGACATTTACAAATAAATCATAGCTTCATTTAATTTCTCAAACTGTTAAGGTGGAAATGTAATATTTAGTATAACAGCTGTAAAAAAAAAAAAAGACTCATCACTTACTTCCACTCATCATCCGCAGAAAGCTTTGTGTGAGAGATCTGAAAAAAAAAAAACAGAAAAAGCAAAAAGAGCCCTTCTCAAAATTTCTTTGTTTTTTCAGCTTGTATTTTATAGCATTACATGGGAAACCCAAACCATGAAAAATAGTGATGTTTCCTAGTACTAGAGTAACTTAGGATGAAAGCCCTAGTAGGATATTTGCTTCCGGAACTAACACACACACACACACACACAACAAGAGTATTCAGGTTAGTATTAATAAATATTTGATTCTGCTCCTAAGTCAGAGAACCAGATGAGGCGCCAGTCCCATAGTTTATTTGGCAATTCAGTGAAGACTGTAGAGAGTGGCCTCCCAGTAGGCGGTGTCACCCTGGCTTTTGGGATAGGATATGGGAATCCTAAAAAACATCTCTTGCTGGTATATTAAATGATGCTGGTGAGTAAATATCTCCAAGTTCAAGGTTTTAGAGACAGAGATGACCAGAGGCTTTACTTGTTTGGAGCATTTTTTTGTGTCCTCCTGCTAATTTAATCTACAGCCTTGCCCTTGCAGACTGAGCTGGAGAGCACAGACCCCACCCCAGGAAGTGCTTTTGGATGACCTACAGATTGTACCACGTGCTGCCTTCCCTTGAGCACAGCTAATCCACTACATTTGGTCATTTGAGACGTTTAAGGCAATCCTTGAAAAGACATAATCTTATAATTTTCATGGAGAGCACAGGGAGCTTAATCCCTCGTCCTATATGTTTAGAGCGAAAATCCCCAATGATGGCAAAGAAGGGAAGGCAAATAAAGCATTTGTTACACAAATATGATCCTAACTAGGTGTTCTTTCTGTATTCTTCAAATGGCACCAGCAAGTTTGACCGATGGGAAAAAACAGTGCCATCCATAGTTCAGTCTAGGTTTCTCTGACTCAGGATAAATAGATTCCATAATAAAACCTGTGCTTCTGCCAGAGGCTTGAGGGGTTCCCTTAGAAGAGAGGACAAGGCTTCAGATGACACTGCTAGGGAGAGGCTTAGGCAAAATTTGCACAGTACCAGGACTTGCCAGAGAATGCCAGGAAAGGGGAAGTGGGTGAAGCAGCCAGTGATGCCAGCAGCTTCTCTATGGCTCCCCTGCTTCTGGATGATTCCATCAGGTGGTCCCCGACATTCAAACAGCTGGGCTCCAGTGCTGCCTTCTAGGAGCAAAGCCTTAGGGGCCACCCTTAGGGAATAGTAGTACCGGAGTCCCCACCTGTCTGATAGGTTCCTCCCTCTCTGCAGACTGCTGCTTCGGGGTAAAAAAACATTGCATGGGTTTAGAGCCCTGAACCATGCATCAATTTAGCACCACCCGGCACTGAACATTGAGCTAACTGGTTCCTTGGGTGACCTTGGGCACAGCACTATCCTGTGATTGTCTCAGTTCCCGTATTAGAAACTGGAGATTGATAGGATAGCTGCTCGTTAACTTTGCTGGGAATACTGTGAGTATAAATAAGATGCTACATAAGAGTTTTGTTGGTGCTTAATCCAAAGGCCAATTAACTCAATTAAGAGTTATAATCTAGGGGCGCCTGGGTGGCTCAGTTGGTTAAGCGGATGCCTTCGGCTCAGGTCGTGGACCCAGGGTCCTGGGATGGAGCCCCACATGGGAGTCCCTGCTCCGTGGGGAGCCTGCTTCTCCCTCTGCCTGCCACTCCCCCTGCTTATGCTCTCTCGCTCTCTCTCTCTTCCTCTCTGACAAATAAAATCTTAAAAAAAAAAGAGTTATAACCTATAGGACTCCCTGGCTGCTTCTCTTTTTGCTATTCAGGATCATGGGGTTCACAGTGCTTCTTATTAAAGTCAACTTAAAAAAGGGAACTGAGGAGGGCGCCTGGGTGGCTCAGTCGTTAAGCGTCTGCCTTCAGCTCAGGTCATGATCCCGGAGTCCTAGGATCAAGCCCCGCATCGGGCTCCCTGCTTCTCCCTTTCCCTCTGCCTCTCTTTCCTCTGGTGCTCGCTCTCTCTCTCCTGCTCTCTCTCAAATAAATAAATAAATAAAATCTTAAAAAAAAAAAAAGGGAACTGAGTTTTTAGTTAAGTTGAGAAGAAAAATTACCTTTGCCTTTTACTAGTCATATAGCCCTGGGCCTAAATGTGTAACTATCCACCAGATTCTAAGTCATTTTTAGTGAAGTATGATAAATTATTCTACTGAAGACCAGAAAAGCTTAGGGAGTGGAAATTAGAGTTGAAAAGTTTTCTGCTAAACACAAGTTAAGAACTTCGTTAGATCAAGTGTACTGAAAAATACTCTCATTTCCTAGGGAAAAAGTGAATATAATGATTATGATGATGATGATGATATTTTCACAGATATCTCTTTTCTAGTAATAGTTCCCTATAGTACAATATTTTTTTCCTAGGGTGGAGTCTACTTTTTGACAATTTTTTCTAGTATGTTATTATGCAAGCCCATTTAATATCTTATGAGGATTTATTTTGGAATTAAAATGACCCTAAAATTCATCTGGAAAAATAAGCATATAAGGATAGCCAGGAAAACTCAGAAGAGTAAATACTGGACAAGTGGCCTACCAAATGCTGAAATACACAATAAAGCCACAGAAATTAATTGAGAGTATTACTGGTCCAGGAATAGGAAGACAGATGAGTGAACAGAACACAGACAGGGTCCAGGAACAGATCCAAGTACATATGATAAATGAGTCACTTCAAGTCAGTGAGAAAAAAAAAAAAATGGATTGTTCAACAAATATTGCTGAGACAACTGGTTGGGCATTTGGAAAAAAATATAGAGCTGTATCCATACCCCATCTCAAAATAAATTCCAGATGGATCAAATATTTAAATGTAAAAAAGAAAGTCTTAAAAGCATTAGAAGACAATATGGGTAAGTGTTTTAATAATCATGTAGTGGACAAAGTATTTTTAAGTACAAGGTTGAGATCAGAAATTATTAAGTAAGTAAGGGGCGCCTGGGTGGCTCAGTTGGTTAAGCAACTGCCTTCGGCTCAGGTCATGATCCTGGAGTCCCAGGATCGAGTCCCGCATCGGGCTCCCTGCTCAGCAGGGAGTCTGCTTCTCCCTCTGACCCTCCCCCCTCTCATGCTCTCTCTATCTCATTCTCTCTCTCAAATAAATAAATAAAATCTTTAAAAAAAAAAAAAAGAAAGAAATTATTAAGTAAAAAAAAAAAAAAAAAAACTTTTTTTTTTTCCTAGGCAGAATGAAAGTTGGAACTTTATTTTGAGGGTGAGGGTGGTTAGCCAGGAGGAGCTCAGAGTCCGAGGCTTGCCCAGAGGGATGGTGGAAAACTTGTGGGACTTTGGGGAATTTGGTTGGACTAGAAACCAGGTTGGGGTCACATGGAGAGCCTCATGGGGTCCATTGAGAGGGCTAGTTGAATCTTTAGACCCCAGGGTCCCCCAGCCCCACCTTCTCTTAGGGACAGTGAGGTGGCTGGCTGGGCCAGGGGCAGGCAGGCAGAGACTAGGGGAAAAGGTACAGTGGCTGTCCATTCACTCCAGCCCTGGATGAGGCACAATCACTTGATTACTGTGGGCAGAGAACCCAGGGTGCCTGTGGGTTGGGGGTGGGGAGTTGGGATACATGGGGTGGGCTGGGAAGTAGCCCCTGCACTCTCCTGCTTCTGGATAACCCCCCCCCCCCAACTGCAGGGCTGAAGGTGAGAAGGGACATCCGTGGGATTGGGAAGGATAAAGCTCTCTGAGCCCTGGAATCTTCTGTGCGGATGAGAACGCTGCTGCCCTGTGCGGACCCCCGCCTGCCGCCTGCCGCCTGCTGCCTGCTGGGGAGGGTCCACCACTGGTTCCTGAGAACAGCTGAAGGTTGTTGCCTCTGGAGAGTGGGAAATCAGGAATGGGAAAGGATGCAGTGGTCATGGGGTCCCATTGGTTTTTTTTAAGTCTTGTAGAACTATTTGACTCCTTAAAATGTGGACGTACATAATTTTAATAAAAATTAACATTAAAAGGAAAAAAACGTCCATAACAGTAAGATATGATTTTCACTTAAAAGTATGACAAGGGGAAAAACGTTTAGTAGCCAGAGCTGATGAGGAAAAATGGTCTTCTCATGCCCTTCAGATGTGTTGTGTACATTAAGACAAGTTTCTCTGGACAGAAATTTGGCAAGGCATGTCAAAATTTTAAGTGTTCGTTTATCCTATGTAGAATAGTCTAGGAATATTCTCTCACAAAATGAAGAGAAAAATACACAGGGAAAGATGACACAGGTGTTTGCATAGTTTTATTTATAATATTGAGAAATTGGCAACAATCTGTGTGTCAACCCATGCGGGATCAGTTAATGAGTTATGATATATCTATAACAAAGGAAATCTGTTGGCTCTTTAAAATGATTGTGCAGATCTATATTTATTGACATAGAAGTATCTCCATGACATATTGTTAAGAGAAAAAGCATGCTTCAAAAACAGTTTTATATAATGTAAACCTATTAATATAAATATAGAGTCACATAGAATCAAGAACCATCCGGAAGAAAGATGTCCAGAATGGTCACCGAAGTGCTAACAGGAATGATCCATGAATGCTGATGTCTATTGGAATATTCACTCCTTTTTTATACCTGTCTATATTGACTAACCTGCATGAACATATGTCACTTAAATGAAGAAGTCTTTTTTTTTTTTTTTTAGGAATAACATGTTTTACTTTTTATAAAATGTTTTATTAACATATAACGTATTATTTGTTTCAGAGGTACAGGTCTGTGATTCATCACACAATTCACAGCGCTCACCATAGCACATACCCTCCCCAGTGTCTATCACCCAGCCACCCCATCCCTCCTAGCCCCCTCCACTCCAACAACCCTCAGTTGAAGAAGTCATTTTGATTCTGCTTCTCCTTTTTCCTTGTCTCTGAGTCACCAAGTCCTTTTTCCCTGCAGCACATTCCTATTTATCTCTCTTCCCCTTTTAGCTCACTTTTGAGCTTCAGATTCTCCTACCCAAGGGCCTTCTACAGATCTCCACTTGGATGTCCCTCAGACACACAAACTCAACCTGCCCCAACCTGAACATATTAATTTACCCCCAACCTGCTTCCATTTCAGTTCCCCCTTCTCACTCAGCAGCTCCACATCCCATCTATCCAATCATTCAAAACAGAAATATGGGGCACCACTCTTGACCCTAGCCTTCCACCTCCAACCCAGTACTCTCCTGCTGACCTTACGAAAATACCCGGCAACCCACTTCCTTCCACCTCAACGGCCTCTATGCCAACCATTCTCTTCATTCATTGAACAAATATCTATTGAGTACCTCCTGGGCGCCAGGCCCTGGGCTAAGAGCCGGCATATGATAAAGGTAAGACACACAAGGCTCCTGTTCTCATGAATGGAGCCTTGTGTTCTAGAGAAAGTAAGGACAATAAACAAGTAAGGAAAACGATGACCTAAGGTGGTAAATTCTATGAAGAAACGAAACCGAGTGTGTGGTAAAGAAGGGCCAGCACAGGGAGGGGCAGTTACCCTTTAGACGGCTTGGCAAGGGAAGGCCTTCCTCAGCCTGAGGAGAGATCCAACCTGGCGTGTAGAGTGTTCCCTTCTTCCCGGAGGGACTCTTGCCTTCACTCCTTTTTTCCCTTCAGACAGTGAGGGTGATCCAAGTACAAGCAAACTGATCACACTGGATCCCCCGCTCGAAACCCAAGTGGCTACGCTTGTCACTAACATGGCTCCTGTGGCCTTTTTCAGCTTCATTTCTCTCTACACACCCTCTGCTCCAGCCAAGCAGAACCTTCCTTCCCTGAATGCTCTTCCTCCACCCCCAGGTACCATTTGGGGATGCCCTGGATTCCACTTCCTCCAGGAAGCCTTTGGGGTTAGGCCTCTCCAGTAGATCTGTTGTCCACTGAACACTGTTACCACACAGCATAGTCACTGGTGATTTATTACTGGTCTTACCCCACCCTGAATACCCCGTCTGGCACATCACACACTCAGTCAAGACACAGTTGACCTCTGAATGATGCAAGGACTAGGGGTGCCAGGCCCCCATACAGTCAGAAATTGGGGTATAACTTGATTCCCCAAGGCTTAACTACTAATAGCCTGCTGTGGACTAGAAGCCTTCCCAATAAGATAAACAGCTGATCAACACATCTGTGTAAGTTATATGTATTATTACTGTGTTCTTACAATAAAGTCAGCTACAGGAAAGAAAATGTTATTAAGAAAACCATAAGGCAAATGCATTTACAGTACTGCACTGTCAATAATCCATGTATACGTGGACCTGTGCGGTTCAAACCCGTGTTGTTCAAGGGTCAACTGTATCTGAAAACTGCCTCCCCACCCCCCCAGCACCTGCCCTCACCATTTCTCACCTCAGCTGCTGCCTCCAAATGGGTTTCCCCACTTTCAACTTTTTCCTCACAAAAATCCACCTGTTAGAAAAATCTTGCTATGGGGCGCCTGGGTGGCTCAGTTGGTTAAGCGACTGCCTTCGGCTCAGGTCATGATCCTGGAGTCCCTGGATCGAGTCCCGCATCGGGCTCCCTGCTCGGCGGGGAGTCTGCTTCTCTCTCTGACACTCCCCGCCTCATGCTCTCTCTATCTCATTCTCTCTCTCAATAAATAAAATCTTAAAAAAAAAAAGAAAAAGAAAAAGAAAAATCTTGCTAAAATGCCTGACAAAACCAGAACAGTCAACTCAAACTACTGGTGTCCCTGGGACGTACGTGAGGGAGGTAAGGACGTGTCAGGCTTGGAGGGCTGTGTTTAGTGATATGGAATCCATGTCACCGGGCAAGGACAAAGCTTCCATGGCTGGAGGGGGAGGGAGGGGTTATGTCAGGCCTACTCCAAGGCAGAGAACAATGTTGGGGCAGAGGTAGGTCCTCTGGGGGAAATCAGAGGTTGCAAAGCAGGCCTCAGACAAGCAGAAGAGCAAACTGCTGAATCCCCGCTATCTGCTCTCTTGCTCCCCAACTTTGAGGAGTCTCAGGAGCAGATAGGGTGTAGCTGGCTCTCAAGACCACAGGGGATATAGCTGGGGAGGCCACCAGCTATATAGGGAGATGGTGTTTGTCATAAAGAGGTAACACAGGGAGCTGGGCAGACTAGAGTCCCAGATCATGAGGTTGTATGTTTATTATTCACTCACTTATTTGTCCAATAGACATTTCCTGAGGCCCTGCCATTTGCCAGACTCTGTGCTGGGTTCTGGAAATATAGTAGCCAGCAAAGCAGATCAAGTGCTTCCTTTGCTGGAGCTTCCAAGGTGATGGAGGTTCTCAGAAAAACAAATATACAACTAGACATGCTTCAGAGGGTAATAAGGATGATGAATGAAACTAAGTAAGGTTTAGAGTCAGAGGGTACTGTAATATACAAGGTGGTCAGTAAATTCTTTTTTTTTTTTTAAAGATTTTTTTTTTTAATTTATTTATTTGACAGAGAGATAGAGAGCACAAGTAGTCAGAGCGGCAGGCAGAGGGAAAGGGAGAAGCAGGCTCTCCGCTGAGCAGGGAGCCCGATGCGGGGCTTGATCCCAGGACCCTGGGATCATGACCTGAGCCGAAGGCAGCCGCTTAACTGACTGAGCCACCCAACTGACTGAGCCACCCAGGCGCCCCGGGTGGTCAGTAAATTCTTACGGGGTTGGGGTGGTCAGTAACCATATCTATTTTTCCTGTATTATCCTCAGCTCTTATAAAGTCTGTGTTAAACTAGCACTTCTCAAACTTTGATGTGCAGTCACCCAGGGGTTTGGTTAAAATGCAGATTTTAGGCCAGTAGGTTTGGGGTGGGGGACTGAGACTCTGCATTTCTAATTGGCTCCCAGGTGACACCTTGGCTGTTGGTCCCTGGACCACATGGCTCTGCTATGGGGGGTTGAGGGAAAAGCTGTGAGTTCCTCCTGGGGAAGAGTTAACAGGGGATCATGTCTCCTGAGGGCAGTGGGCAAGGCAGTGATGACAGCCTTAAGGGACAGCAAACGTCAGCTGCCGAAGTAACTCTGCCAGTCTTCTGCCCTTCCCAGCTTGCAGACTTCTTCATCCATAACCCACTGTGAATGATCTGATCCGGGTCTGAAACCAGCAAGTAAGTCATGGAGTTCCCTTATAGCTTCCCCATTTTAGAGAATAGATCCCCAATGCATAGTGTGTTACAAGATTTGTCATAACTCAGCTCTGCCTTCCTACAAGCCTTCATGAACCCTGGATTTCTGCCAGGATCATAGTGAATATCCACGACCACTCCCCAACAATTTTTTTCACCTCAAGTAATTTGGTATTCCTGTTTCCTCCATGGAGAATTCTCATTTCCCCTCATGGCCACGTGGAATCTCATCCATCCTCTGAGGTCCAGCTCACAATAGCCATGCCACACCCCCACCTCCAATCAGCTTTGCCCACCCTCCCTGTCAGAAGCAATTCCTTGCTCCTAGAAATCCTACAAAACTTCACTCGAACCTCTTTGGGGACAGTAATCTCTTCCCATCCTCTATGAGTTATTTTATCCTTGTTATACTTTCTTCCCAGGATGTGAACTCCCAGAGTATACCTCTAACTGCCTCTTTACCCATGAGTAGCACAGTTCCCAGTATGTGATCATGGCCTACGAATCGTCTATAAATGAAAAATATTAATGACTTGGATTTGAAATCACCAAAGGGCAATGGGGGGAGAGTCTGGGGGAGGAAAGTGCTAGCCCAGAGGTTCTCAAAGCTTGTGCATCAGCACCTCCTGGTAACTAGTCAGACTTGCAAATAGGTAGTCAGGCACTATCCCTGATGTCAGGAATTAGAAACCCTGGCTGGGGGCAGAGCCCAACTGTCTATCTGCTTTTTAACTAGCCTTCCGTGATTGTGATGCACGCTGCAGTTTGAGAACCGTAAAGTCAAGCGTGAGGTACACCAAGCACCCTTCAGCTGTCCTCTTCTAATGCCCACAGCCTTCACCTGGGCCCTGGGGCTTCTGCCAGGGAGCGAGGAGGAGAGAGGGGCAGCCAGTACGGAGGACAGGGAATAGATAGGGATGAGTCGGATAAGGGTCCTTCAGGA